AAAGAAAGAAAGAAAGAAAGAAAGAAAGAAAGAAAGAAAGAAAGACATGGAGCTAAAATATTTGAGAATGGTGGGGGGAGATAATTCTGTTGCTGCAATGAAGCTTTTTGTCCCCTATCTTCCTATCGCTAAGGTGACAATCAGTTTTGTCTGGCAGGTAGAATCTCTTCAAAGTGACATTAATATTTAAGGAAGAAAGGAGGGAAGGAAGGAAGGAGGGAGGGAGGGAGGGAAAGAGAGAAGGAAGACAAAAGAGAGAAAAAGAAAAAGAAAGAAATAGAAAGGAGAGAAAGAAAGACAAAGAGAAAGAAGAGCAAACAGAGAGAAAGTGGAAGAAAAAGAGAGAAAGAAAGAAAAAGAGAGAAAGAAAGGAAAATAAAAGAAAGAGCAATCTGTAACCCTCTGCTATGAGGGGTGGAAGAAAGTGGGGAAGATACTAAAGTCCCATGCCAGGGGCCCTGGGTGTCATTTTGCCCAGAGGGGCACCTTCGCAGCTCTCATGCCAGTCCTGTCAATACTCATGCGAGGAGGTGGAACATGACTCTGGAAAGAAGGTGGTGTGGGCAGGATAGGACCATGATGGCGAACCTATGGTATGCCACCACAGGTGGCACCCAGAGCCATTTGTGTGGGCACGCGAGCTCCAGGCCAACTTACCTCACTGGGCCGAAAAACAGGGCCGTTTCATCACTTCCTGTATTTCTGGAAATACCGAAAGTGGCTAAACGGACCCGTTTTTCGGCCTACAAAGACTACAGAGGCTTCCCTCGAGCCTCTGGGAGGCCGAAAAAGGCCCGAAAATCAGCTGTGTGAATGCACAGCGCAGGTAAGGGGGAGGGGGTGTGAGGATCGTGCGTGTATGCGCAGGAGGCATGGGGGAGTCCTGCGCATTATGTTCTGGGTGCTGGCACGCAAGCAGGCACACAATTTTCGGCACAGGAGCCCCAAAAGGTTAGCCACCACTGGGTTAGGAGTTAGTTGTCCTGGTGTGCTGCCCACCCCAAACCCCAAATTGCCTTTTGGATGACTTGATGCAGGGGATGCCAACGTTCATTATCTTGGTTCAGGTGTGTCTCTACGTTCTTCCAGGAGAACAAAGTGCTGGTTTTATTAGGTGCTGTTTCAGAAACAAGGCCAGGGACCGCCAGTGATTCTTGGGGTCCGTAGAGGGATCTCGAGCTGATGTGACCCCCCAACGCCCGGTCTTTGCATCTGGGGTAAGTGGTATTCAGAAGGCTGGGGTGGGGGGCACAGCCTTTGCTGGAAGTTTTATGAAGCCAACTCGGTCCTGCCGGCTTTATGCTTTTTTGGAGAACTGCGTGGAAAAAATCCGAGCGATTCTTTTCATTTCCTCTTCGGGCAGAGGAAGGGGCATCGGGCTCGGCTTGGGACGGACTGGCCTTCGGTGAGGAATTCCCGGGGCCTCGCTTCGGTCCTCTCCAGCCTGAAACGGAGATAAAAGGGAATATGGCACTCGAAGAGCTTCTTTTGTCGTTCTTATGCAGAGAATCATTTCAAAAAAAGGAAAAACCCAATTTCTACGGTGATTACAGACGTTGCTCCGGGAGTGAGACGGGCGGTTTCTAAGTTTGGTGCATAGGTTAATTAAATAAATAAATAACAATTTAAATGTTCAGGAATATGAGTTCCTTTTAGGGAACAACTTGCTGGGAGACTCTAACCCCCAGAGTCGCTTTGCAAAAAAGATGGATGTCATATACAAAATAGATAGATATATGATAGATAGATATAAATAGATGATAGATAGATGGATGGATGGATGGATAGGCAGGCAGGCAGGCAGGCCAACAGATAGACAGGTACAGTACAGACAGACAAACTGATTGACCAACAGACAGACAGATAGAATAGAATAGAATTCTTTATTGGCCATCAAGCCATGCCCACCAAACCGGTGGTAAAGCTTTTTGAATCCCACCATTGCCTAAGAACTGTTTCAGGCTCAATGATTGTCATAAGTGGAGGATTAAGGAGCCTCGGTGGAGCAGGGGTTAGAGTGCAGTATTGCAAGCTACTTCTGCTGACTGCCAGCTGCCTACAATTTGGCAGATCAAATCTCACCAGGATCAAGGTTTGACTCAGCCCTCCGTCCTTCCGAGGTGGGTCAAATGAGGACCCAGATGGTTGGGGGCAAATAGGCTGACTCTCTAAACCGCTTAGAGAGGGCTGTAAAAGCACTATGAAGCGGTATATAAGTCTAAGTGCTGTTGCTATTGCTATTACAGGTATTGTAGAAAAGAGGGCAAGTGGGCTGGATCGCCGAGAATCACAACAGGCCATCATCCCGCAACAGACCAGCATCCTTGAAATACTTTTAATCCCCTACCACTGCTCTGCAAACATATTTCTTAAAACTGCCTTCTTTACACCGGGGAGGGGGGGGAATTCTCTTTTTTCCATTACAAGTTTGAATTTTGCTGATGAAGGAGCCTGGTTTTTATATATATATATATATTTCAAAAATATAGATAGACAGACAATAACATAGGTAGGTAGATAGATAGATATACAGATAGATAGATGGATAAAAAGATAGATAACAGATATAGATGACATAAGACAATAAGAAAGATATAGATAGAAATGATAAACTGATATCAGATATATATATATATATATATAAAAGGAAGGGAGAAAGGAAGGGAGACGAGCCAAAAGAATTGAACCACGGCCGTGGGTGGGGTGGCAATTAAACCTCTGTCCTGCAATATTAAACCCTCCTGCAATATTAAACCCTCCCTTTTGCAAAAGGGCAGCCCAGCCAGGCAGCTGGTCACAAGCTATTCATGGCCCTGCCACCTTTCACCCACTGAGGGGGCCTGTTTATCCTTTCCCACCTGCACCCTGAAGCTCTAGGAAGGGGGGGGGGCGCGATTTCTAGAAAAGGGGCCGAGTTTTCTCGGCTGAGTTCAGCTTATCCAAGCAATAAACTCGGTCGCTAATAATACACTCGGCTGCACTTTCGCCTCGGCTCAGTTCTAGCACCACACCGACAATTTTTTCTCTCTCCTTTTTTTTTTTTTTTGCAAACGGCTGCATCTCAATCCCAGGGTCATCAAAATAAGTGTGCCAGGGAAGAAGGCCGTGGCTTAAAAAAAAAATCCCCAGGATGCTTGCAAAATAGTAGGTAGGTAGGTAGGTAGATGATAAACAGATATCAGATAGACAGACAATTACATAGGTAGGTAGGTAGATAGATAGATAAATATACAGATAGATGGATGGATAGAGACAGACAGACAGACAGACAGATGGATGGATAAAGAGATAGATGATAAACAGGTATCATAGATGACATAAGACAATAAGAAAGATATTATAGATAGATAGAAATGATAAACAGATATCAGATAGATGACAGTCAAGATATAGATAAATAGATATAGATAGATATACAGATAGATAGATGATAAACAGATATCAGATAGACAATAACATAGATAGATAGATATACAGATAGATGGATAAAGATAGATGATAAACAGGTATCAGATAGATAGGCAATAACATAGATAGATATACAGATAGATAGATGGATAAAAAGATAGATAACAGATATAGATGACATAAGACAATAAGAAAGATATAGATAGAAATGATAAACAGATATCAGATACATGACAGACAAGATATACAGATAGATGATAAACAGATATTAGACAATAACATAGATAGATAGATAGATAGACGTACAGATAGATGAAATAGATGATAGAAGATATAGATGATAGATGATAAATAGATGATAGATAAATAGATGATAAAGATACATAGATGAAATTTATTTATTGGATTTTTATCCTGCCTTTATTACTTTATAAGTAACTCAAAGTAGTGAACATACATGCTCTTCCTACTCCTGTATTCCCCACAACAACAACCCTGTGAGGCGGGTTGGGCTGAGAAAGAAGGACTGGCCCAGCCAACTTTCAGGCCAACGGTAGGACTAGAACTCCCCGTCTCCTGGTGATTGGCCCAAAGTCACCCAGCTGACTGTCATGTGCGCGCACGCACACACCCTTGGGACACGTTCAGGCTGGTTTCTCAGCCCCCAAATGCTGTAACTTTCCAGTTGCTGGCGGGCTGGGCTGAGAGTTCAAGCACAAATGACACCTGGATCGGGTGTCGGGCCTCCTATTTTTATACACGCTTATTTACACTTCATCCGGAGATTCCCTCCGATGCTGACAGGGCTTTAAGAGGCCGGCAAAAAGATGGCAGCTGGCTCCCCTTCTCCCGCCGTGCTGCAGGCCGGTGTGTTGCTGCTGCTGCCTCCGCCGAAACCTCATCCGGCTGCAACCGGCTCTGGTTTGTTTGATTCAGCCGGGGACTCAGCCGGTTGGGAAAAGGAAGGCTTCCTTCAGACTCCCTCTGCTGATCAACCTGGTTCAGGTTGGCTCACGCCCAGCCCAAGGGATCTCGGAGGAGCGGGAAGGATTCCGGTACCCATCTTCAACGTTCTGGTCACCATTAAAAAACCGTTAGCTCCCTGGCCGCCAACCTTTTGGGGCGCCAGGCACTGGATCCGTGGAGAGGAGGGAGCGTGGTTCCGTGTGCTGCCTGTATCCCACAGATGGGGCATCGGTTGTTTGTGTGGCACACTTTCTGGCATCTATATCTATATCTATCTATCTATCTATCTATCTATCTATCTATCTATCTATCTATCTACCTACCTACCTACCTACCATCCATCCATCCATCCATCCATCCATCTACTATCTATCTATCTCTGTGGCTGTCTCTCTCTCATATCTATCATCTATATTATATCTACCTACCTACCTACCTACCTACCTATCCTCTCTCTCTCCCTCTCCCAATATCTATCTATGTATCTATCTACTCTCTCTCTTTCTCTCTCTCTCCCTGTCCATCCATCCACCCACCCTTCCATCCATCATGTATATCTATCTATCTATCTATCTATCTATCTATCTATCTATCTATCTATCTATC